TCTTGTTCATATGGCCTCTCATCTTATCAGCTGGACGCTTCACTCTGCACTCTAGTCCTCTGTGGCTATGTCACTGACTCTGGGCCCAGGAGTCCCCAGGTGTTGCCATACTGCTGGCCAACCAGGTCTCCACCTGGGTTCACAGGAGTTTATTCAACGTGGTAGGGCTTAGCTCACAGCTTCACTATTGTTTTTCCCTCACTTCTGCTTATCGGTGACCAATGTGGTCACCAGTCAGAACGCATGCCTGCTTTTGTACTCCCATTGAGTCTTAGTCTCGGAAGGGGGTTTGTCCTGAGGGGACCCGACCACTTGCCTTGATGTCTCCTGGGTAGACAACTTGCTTGTTCTTGTAGTAGTCAGTTGAACTGCCATTTTTGTTTTGTGTTTTTCTTGGTGGTCTTTCTTTTAAGAAGTATCTTCTGTCTTTCTTGTCTTCTTAATGAATTTTTACTGTATGATATTCTTGATGTCATCCAATAACTCTTCTGGTCTTTGATCTTTAGTGTTTAATGCATCAAATCTATTTTCAGATGATCTCTAAATTCAGGTGGGATATATTCAAGATCATATTTTGGCTCTCGTGGACTTGTTTCCATTTTCTTCAGCTTCAGTTTGAATTTGCATATGAGCAATTAATTTATGGTCTGTTCCACAATCTGCCCCTGGCTCTCATGGACTTGTTTCCATTTTCTTCAGCTTCAGTTTGAATTTGCATTTGAGCAATTAATTTATGGTCTGTTCCACAATCTGCCCCTGGCTTTGTTTTGACTGATGATATGGAGCTTTCCCACAATCTCTTTCCACAGATGTAGTCAATTTGATTTCTATTGATATCTAGTGAGGTCCATGTGTATAATTGTCTCTTCTGCTCTCTAAAGAAGGTATTTGAAATGAACAAATCATTGGTTATGCAGAATCTATCATGCAATCTCCAGCATCATTTCTATCACCAAGGCCATATTTTCCAACTACTGATCCAGCTTCTTTGTTCCCAACCTTTGCATTCTAATCACCAGTAATGATCAATGCATCTTGATTGCATGTTTGATCAATTTCAGGTTGAAAAAGTTGGTAGAATTCTATTATTTCATATTCACTGGCTTTAGTGGTTGGTGCATAAAATTTGAATAAATTGTATTAACTAGGCTTCCCTGTAGGCACATGGATATTATCCTATCACAAACAGCATTGTACCTCATGACTGATCTTGATATGTTCGTTTTGTCAATGAATGCAACACCATTCCTCTTTAGTTTTCCATTACCAATATAGTAAACCATGTGGTTGTCAGATTCAAAATGGCCAGTACCATTCCATTTCAGCTCAGTAATGCCTAAGATATCGATGTTTATGCATTCCATTTCATTTTTTACAATTTCCAATTTTTCTAGATTCCTACTTAGTACATTCCATGTTCTGATTACTAATGGATGTTTATAGCTGTTTGTCTTCATTTTGAGTTGTGCCCCATCAGTAAATGAGGGTCCCCAGAGTTTTACTCCCACAGGCTTTACCCCATTCGTGTCATCATTGTCAACTCTACTCTGAGGAGGCAGCTCTTTTTCAGTTGCATTTTGAGTGCCTTCCAACCCGAGGGTCTCATTTTCCGGCACTATATATGACTGTGTTTCTTGACTCTTCATAAGGTTTTCAGAGACTAAATTTTCAGAAGTAATTTGTCTCTCATTCTTCCTAGTCTGTCTTCGTCTGGAATTTCATCTGAAACCTGTCCACTATGGGTGACCCTGTTGGTATTTAAAATTCCCGTGGCATAGCTTTCAGAATCACAGCAACTCACAAGCCACCACAGTAAGACAAACTGACAGATGAGTGGTGGCATGCCATGGGCATGACTGTTCAAATCAGATTCCCTTTGAGCCCAATCTCTAACTCTAAGTCTGTTTAAATGATTTAATTAAAAAAATTTTTTTTTTCTTCTACTATGGATTGAGAAATAGAATTTTCTGTTTCTATTTAAAAACTTTAATTGTTTATAAAATAAACCCCAAAACTCCTTTGGAGTCCTGGTGTGACAATGTAGGGTAAGTGCAGATTTGCCAGGTCAGTTTGAATCACAAGGTTGGCAATTCATATTCACCAGTCGCTCATCATCATGAGTTGGAATGGACTTGATGACGACAACAACAACAATAATCTTCCTTTGGTCAAAATAATTCCATGGAAAAAAGACAGGAAAATTGTCTTCATCTTAAATAACAAAGTCTGCTGACTTTGTGAAGTATGAGTATTCCAGAACACTTAATTGTGCTATGAGGAATCTGTACTTGGAACAAGAGGCAGTTGTTTGAACAGAACATGGGAACACTGAATGGTTTAAAATTAAGAAAGGTGTGCGACAAGGTTGTATTCTTTCATCACACTTATCCAATCTATGTGCTGAGCAAGTAATATGAGAAGCTGGGTTATATGAAGAAAAATGTGGCCACAGGATTGGAGGAAGACTCATTAACAACATGTGATATGGATTACATCTCAATGTCAAGAAAACAAAAATCCTCACCACTGGACCAATAAACAACATTCTTAATCAACGGAGAAAAAAATTAAAGTTGTCAAGGACTTCATTCTTCTTGGATCAACTATCAACACTCACAGAAGCAGCAGTCAAGAAACCAAACAACGTATTGCATTGGGCAAGTATGCTGCACAAGACCTTTTTAAAGTGTTGAAAAGCAAAGATGTCAGCTTGAGGACTAAGGTGCGCCTGACACAAACCATGGTATTTTCAATAACCTCATATGCATGCCAAAGCTGGACAGTGCATAAGGAAGACGGTAGAAGAATTTATGTTTTTGAGTTATGGTGTTGGAGGAGAATATTGAAAGTGCCATGGGCTGCCAAAAGAACGAATAGATCCATTTTGGAAGAAGTGCAGTCAGCATGCTCCTTGGAGGCCAAGATGGCCAAACTTCATCTCTCATACTTTGGACATATTGTCAGGAGGGACCAGTCGCTGAAGAAGGACATCATGTTTGGCAAAGTGGAGGTCAGAGAAAAAGAGGAAGACCCCCAATGAGATGGATTGGCCAAGTGGCAGCATCGATGGAATCAAGCATGGCAACAGTGAGGTTGGCCCAGGATCGGGCAGTGTTTCGTTCTGCTGTGTATAAAGTCAGTATGAGTCAGTACTGACCTGATGGCACCTAACAACAACAACTGACTGACTGGTAGATGTACGCCATGCTTGTTTTCACTTTGATAACTGTTTTTGTTGACTACAGCTATGATGTCGTATACAAAGGGCAGCCTAGACAGACAGAAAAGGCAACATGACTAAGGTCTTAGATCCAACTTTGATGCATACCTTATCAAGTGAGAAAGCCAAAGACAAAAGTTCAACATTGGCATTAAGATTAGCAAACATGAATGTTCCCACTTTCAAGAAGGCTGTCTGAAGTCAAGTGGAAAACAGCTTAAAAACTGATGACATACAGTATATGAAAGCATTTACATTTAGTCTGGCAGTTATTCTGATTACTCTGGGCATAGCAGTTACAAACGGGGCTGGCAACCTCACGGTCATCAGTTTGAAACTACCAGATGTTCCATGAGAAAAAGTCAAGGCTTTCTGTTCCTATAAGGATTTACAGTCTCAGAAATCTTATACAGAGTCGCTGTGAGTTAGAACTGACTTCAACCAAGGGGCACGACAAGAATCTTCTGATATATTTTAAAAGCACAAAACAACTGATGTGCATAAAATCCTGGAAAATATGATATTAAGTGTCAGTCTAGCTTAAATTCTTAGGTTCAAAGTTCAACCTTTGAAATAAATACAAGTTTAAAGTTAACTAATCATGAAATTTCAAAACATTTTATAAAATTTAAAGTTAACAACTGTGCAGTTATTCAAGTTATTAGAATTTATTATTATTATTATGTTGTTGCTAAGTGCCATTGAATAGGTTCTGACCCATAGTGACCTTGTATAGGATTTCTGAGGAGCTGCTGGTGAGCTTGAACCACCAACCTTACAGTTCAAAAGGCTTTGCAGCCTGGTGCATTAACCCAGAGCATCACACCAGGACTCATGTATAGGGTTTCTGAGACTGTAAATATTGATTAATATTTGTTTTTGTTGTTGTGAAGTGCCGTAAAGTTCGTTCCAACCCATAGCGACCCTGTATAGGGTTTTCAAGGAGCAGCTGGTGAGCTTGAACCACTGACCTTGCAGTTCAAACGGTTTTGCAGTCTGGCACATTAACCCACAGCACCACACCAGGACTCATTACCATAAACATTACTATTTACTGCAAAGAATATTGCCAGCTAAAAAGTATTATACGTATGCAATTTTGCTTTTTTTTTTTTAAATCAATGATAGATACTCTTACCAGCAAGAGGAGGGCCAAGGAGAACTGGGCAACACTCCACAATTGTGACAAGTCCTACAGCACTGGAAAACCTTGGAGCACCAACAAGGTCCATGAGAGTTTCAAAGAGGACAGCACTAACACTTCCAAATCCCAAGCCAAAGAATATAGCATATATCACCAGGCTTGTGTAGTCTTCTGCCAGTGGGCACAGGAGATGACAAATTCCATTGAACATGATTGCAAAACAGAAAAAGTACTGGATTCGGGGTCGAATAAACTTGGAGTTTGCAATTAATCCTACAGACGGTCTAGCAAACATGTCAACAAAAGCCATAACAGACAGCAAAAAAGCTGCAGAATACTCATCAATTCCTTTGTCCTTAGCATATGGAGCCAAGAAAATAATAGGGGCAAAAAATCCTAGAAACATGATAACATTTCCAGATAGGTATATAAGAAAGCCCCTATGTTTAAAAAGAGAGAAATCCAAAAACTTATTAATTGTTTCCCAAGTTGATTTCTTCTTATGGCTTCTCTTCAGACTGGATGAATCCCTTCTTATGCCAATCTTATTTTTAGATGTGCTTTTCGTTTGTTTGGGTTCAAGAGGTCGCATGAGAGACCCAGCTACACAGGCATTCAAAAATATACCTCCCAAAATCAAGAAACTTCCTTTCCAGCCATAACTATTAAAAAGAAACTGATTGAAAGGAGCCAGTGTACTTAAGAAAACAGGACTTCCGGCCATGGCCAATCCATTTGCCATGGGTCGTTTCTTCAAGAAGTATTTGCCAATTATCGTTAAGGCTGGTTGCAGATTGAAGGCTAAACCCAAACCTAGAAAGAAAGAAAACAAAAGTAAAATAGTACAAAACAAAAAACACGAACACGTTATGGCACTCACAAAAGATACTCATGTATTAAGGATGAACTAAAAATAGAACTGCAAGTAATAATTTGTGTTAATTACAAATATAAATAGAATTATTTTTTAAAAAGCCAAAAGTTCCAGGAAACCAGACATTGACATGGCAGTTTAAAGTTAACTTCATTTTAAAGCACAGAAATAAAACCAAGTACTTCTATTGATGCTTAAACAATCAGAGAATAGCTTGACACAGTTGTGGAAGTTGTTAGGTACAGCTGAGTAGGTTCTGACTCATAGAGACCCCTATATATGTTTTCTGAGGCTTTAAATCTTTGCAGGAGCAGAAAGTCTCATTTTTCTCCCATGGAGTGGCAAACAGAATTGAACCACAGACCTTGAAAATCACAGTCCAGTGATTATTGTTATGGGAGCAGAAAGCCTCATCTCTCTCCCAAGGAGCAATTGGTAGATTTGAACTACTGACCTTGAGGTTAGCAGCCCAGTTTGTAATCTACTATGCTACCAGGGCACCTCAGGTTGACACTAGGGTAACATCATTAGTTCTTAATTAAAATCATTCAATTTTACAGCTAAATTAATTTTACTTTCTCTCTCTCTCTCTATATATATATATAAACACACCAGGAGCTTTGGTAGCATAGTGGTTACAAGTAAGGCTGCTAACCTCAAGGTCAGCAGTTTGAAACTACCAGTCCTTCCACTGGAGAAAGATGAGGCATTCTGTTCCCATAAAGATTTACAGCCTCAGAAAATCTATGCAGGGTCTCTGTGTGTTGGAACAACTTAACAGGACACCATCACCACATTACATATATACACACACACACACATCTATATAAGAAATAGAGTTCTTCCTTATAGGCAAGAATTCACTTAAAAGTTTAAATATTTTATTTTACTTTCAGAGTAGAAGGAATGTAATTAGACTAAAAAGGTCATTATTTATAACAATCTTACATTTCATCAGAGATCATTCTTTAAGCACTATGAAAATAATAAAAAATAAACATAAATTTGTACCATTAATTTCATGCTTAGCATCCCTCACATTACACATTTCATGTATATAGGCACATATGTGTTAACTACAAAGTAGAGAATTTTTCTGCTTGAAACCTACACTGTTGGGATTAAAATTGATTGTTAATATGAGCCAACATTTCCCACTCTCTAGAGAATTCTATAACAATCCTGGTGGTGCAGTTGTTAAACTGCTCAGCTGCTAAATGAAGGGCTGATGCTTTGAACCTAACAGCTACTCTGTGGGAGAAAGATGTAGTCGTGTGCTCTAAAAATTACAGCCTTGTAAACCCTATGGGGCAGTTCTACTCTGCCTTACACAGTGGCTATGAGTAAAACTGGCTTGATGACAATGGGAGGGAACTCTTCAGTAGTGATGAATATTACCTTTGAGAAATAAATTACCTCTTGAAGCTCACAACTTCCTACTTGCTAGTAATAATGAATGTTTCGTTAATAAGTACATAAAATTTATATAAATCAATGTTCTTTCTGTCTTAGCCTAGGCATTAATCTACATCATTTTGGGGGCTGCAGAGTAAAAATTATTCGGTATTTACATATTTACATTGTCAAGTTGTTCATTATTCTGGTTCTGGGATATGAGGGGTTTGGATACAGATACTTATTCCTAGTTGTTAATAGAAACATTTTCTAAGCAGAAGGGTCCCTAAAAACTGACAAAGGAGCAAGAACATAATTGGAGAATAATAGACAACATACTTTCTGATTCTACTCAGCCATAGCTAAGAGATATTTAAAATAAGTGTAATTAGGACAAATATTGAAATATTAATATCAATGAAATGACTTTTATGTACAATACCTAAAGTAAGATTTAGGTATTATGCTTCAGAGTTCAAGTTTACAGATTTTGCACCATTCCTCTGCGATCTCTCTCTCCTGCTGTTTTTGGACCTGGTACTTTTATTTTTCAATGTTAGCCCAAGTTCTCATTAGGGGAGAGCTGCCATCTATTTCTTACTCTGGTATGAAAAAATAAATATAGGTTTTAACATGGAAAGATCTGAATCTGCCCCAAACCATTGTACACTATTGGGCAAAACATTTATGACTACTTCTTGAGCCCCAATTCCATCAATGGCAACAAACAAGACTGTTTTCTCAAAATCACGTAAGTTCCATAAACACAGGATTATTAATCACAAAGTTGAAGGTTCAAACTCACCAGTCACACCTCAAAAACCTTAAGACAGGGTCACTATGAGTCAGACTGACTGGACAGCACTCAACAATAATGTACAAATGATACATTATTATTATCTGTAGTGTGGTGCTGTACATTAATGCACCAGATTGCAAAGCTGTGTGAACTGCAAGGCCGATGGTTCAAGCTCACCAGCTTGGAAACCCTATACAGGGTCGCTGTGGTTCGGAATCGACTCGATGACCTTAATAACAATATTTATTGGTGTCCTGGTGGGTATGACGCTGTAGGATAAAGACTGAACTGCTAACAACAATATCAGTGGTTCAAACCCATCAGCTTCTCCTCAGAAATCCTATACAGGGTTCCTATGAGTCAGAACTGACTCAACAGCACTTAACAAAAAACTAAATCAATATTAATTTATGAGTAACAGTAATCTGGGTTCTCAGTCAAGTACAATATATTATTATAATTTTAATATGTATTAGTAATTTCAACAATTCTCTAAGGAAAGGACTGTCATTTTCCCAATTTTGAAGACAGAGTTTGAGACATATGTGAGTTGATTCACCCATAATCAAATAGTTTATATGTGCTAAGCCCCACTACCATTGAGTTGACTCCCATGCCTAGTGATCCTATAGGACATAGTTAAAGTGCTCCTTAGGGTTTCTGAGAATGCAGATCTTTAGGGGAGCAGACGATCTTATCTTTCTCCTGAAGAAAGGCTGGGGGCTTTAAACTGCCAACTTTAAAGTTAGCAGCCCAACACTTAACTCACTGCGCTTGCTACAAGGGCTCTTTTATATGTGCTAAACTAGATCTTGTATATGCTGAGTTAGATCGTCCTGGTTTCAGAAACCAAAGACTATTGGCTGATTCTGACTTGGAAAACAAGAGAAGTATTATGAAGAAAATATCTGAAGATAAAATGTGACTTACCTCCAATGAATCCCACAGTGAGGTAAAGCTCTACAACACTGGTACTAAAAGAGGCTGAGACCATTCCCAAGCAGCACAATAAACCTCCTACTATCACCACTGGACGGCTGCCATATTTATTCACCAAAATGCTACTTATAGGACCTGAAGTAGAGAGGAGATTAAGGAAAAGTCAGTTGTCAGATTATTTGCTTACAAATACTCCTCACATACCAGTCTCTTTATTTGACATTTCACATTTACAGCAACAGTAACAAAAAATACTACATTAATGATCTATGTCTGATGGCAAAGAATGCCAAGGTGAGAGGTAAATACTGGCTGTGATGATTAAGTTCATGTGTCAGTTGTGATGGGACATGATTCTCCATGGTTTGGCAGTTGTATAATGATAAATTTGTCAACAATGAAATTATGTAACTTGGAAATTATGAAATTATGTAAACATCCTTCATTTTGTGATCTGTTGTGGCCAGCTTCCACTTTCATATAATGCTGACTATTGCATATAAAGACCATATAAATATTTTGAATCTAGCCATGACAATAAATGAAGAGTGGGTGTATTTATTTTAAAAACAGTTAATTGTGAAAGTTTAGAAAGCAGATTTTAATGTTCAAAGAAAAGTATTTTTCACATGAAACTTTCAATACTTCATAAATAATCACTTTGATTCATTATCCTTAATCACATAGATGAAAGCACATGAAATGAAATTATATACCTAATTTATGATTTCATCTTATGTGCATTGATCTATGTGGCTTTTATGGCAATTATTCAAATTTTGATGCAAATTTTTCAATAGAAGATATTTTAAAATACTGACAAAATTTGAATAAGTACAAGAAAATTTATGTAAAATTATGTAAAAAAAATTTATAAATGACTTGTGGATTTTATTTTCTATAAAAGTGCATGTGTGTGTACCATTAACTGGAGTTCAATTTTTTATTATATCTTAACATAATTTTTTATACCATATTTCATTGATTTTATGCCAATGCAAGAGTTAGGTATTAAATATTTAGGAATACTTTACAAAACATATAACAAATATTTTCTATGTATGTATGCATGTATGAGCTATTCAGGAGTAATATATGATTAAAAGAATCTATATTTAAGTATTTCAAAAAGCTCTTTTAGTAAGTATAATATAAAAGTTCTTTATATTAAGATATAATTGTGTTAATTTATCAGGTAGCATTTTTTATTTTATAGTGAATCATAAATTGAAGATATCTTAGATTCAATGAAAACTCATATCATTGTGTGGCTCTGTCAATATATAAATAAATGGTTTACTTTGAAATTTTTATCTTAACTTATACTTCACCTGAAACTAGAGTTAACTGCTTTGAGGAAAATAATAAGAGTATTAGATGAGAATTTGCTGTAAAAAATGTGGCCTACAAAAGTAAAATATTTTTTAGCTAACTATGTAACTTGTCACCATATGTCTGTTAGTTTATCATACTGTGCTGGCTTGCATGTCACTGGTATTTGAAATGCCAGCAGGAACAACCATGTTGGGCAGCTTTCAGTGGAGCTTCCAGAGTAAGACAAACTAGGAAAGAGAGGTGAACCACTTCTTAATGACTAGCCACTGAAAACCTTATGAATAGCAGCCAGACATTATCTCCTGTAGTGTTGGAAGATTAGGCCCTCAAGTTGGAAGACACTGAAAATGCAATTGGGAAGGAGTTGCCTCCTCAAATTAGAGCTGGCCTTAGTGACATAGATGGAGCAAAGCTTTGGGAACTTCATTTGCTAATGGAGCACAACTCAAACTGAGAAGAAACAGTTGCAAACACCCATTAATAATTGGAATGTGAAACGTATGAAGCATGAAT